CCATAGTTGAACTCCGTATGTCCAAACTGGTTTTATGATGGTTTTGTACAACAAAATCTTGTTGTAGGCTGATAGTTCTGATTGCCTACCCAACAACCAGTGTAAGGTTCTTCTTATGTGTTCCATGTGTGCCCGTTTAGCGGCTATGTGCTCTTTCCAGTTTAATTTCTTGTCTAGAATCATCCCCAGGTATTTGACTGTCTCTTTTGCAGGAATTGTGTGGTTGAAGATTCTAACTGGAGGACATGTGTCTTTGCGAAGGGTAAAGGTAACATGTACCGACTTGGAATTGTTGACTTCGATTCTCCACAGCTTAAACCATTGTTCCATTTTGTCCAGATGAACTTGAAGAAGTAATGATGCCATTTCGGGATTCTGATGCTGAGCGATAACGCACGTGTCATCTGCAAACATGGCTATATTGGTATTACAATTAACAGGAAAATCGGCTGTGTATAGAAGAAATAATGTTGGTCCCAGAACACTTCCTTGAGGAACTCCGGCTCTAATATTTCTCACTTCTGACTGAACACCATTTATGTAGACGTAAAATTTTCTGTTTTGTAAATAAGAGTTAAGTAAGATATATAAGTTATAGGGCAGACATTTTTTAAGTTTGTATAAGAGTCCTTTATGCCACACTTTATCAAAAGCTTTCGTAAGGTCTAGAAAAACGGCAGAGCAATAATTTTTTGAGTGAAGAGCTTCATTGACTGTATTAACTACTCTGTGGATTTGTTGGATTGTTGAATGCTGTTGTCGGAAGCCAAATTGATAGTTAGGTAATAAGTTTTTGTTATGTATTTCAGAGTTTATTCGTTTTAAAATAAGTTTCTCAAAGATTTTTGATACACAAGAAAGTAGACTTATTGGTCTATATGATGAAACTAAATGATGGTCTTTACCAGGTTTAGGAATTAAAATTATTTTAGCAGTTTTCCATGCTTCTGGAAAGCAACGAAGTCTAATTATTGCATTGAAGGTTATAACTAAATATCTTATCAACTTCTTGGGTGCTTCTTTTAGCATTCTTATTGTTATTTTGTCATGTCCTGGGGATTTTCCTGATTTGGATGATTTGATTAAACCGGAAATTTCTGAAAAGGTGGTTCTGTTAACACTGTTAGTAGTTCTTATATCCTGGTGGAGATAATCATTTATGAAGTCTTCTTCGCTACGACTGCATTGAGGAGGTGCCGGGTTAAAAGTTTCTTGTAAATAGTCAGCAAATAGTACGGCTTTTTCTTTGTGTGATCTTGCCCATGACTGATCAGGGTTTCTGATCGGTGGTACAGCCATAACTGGTTTCTTGAGTCGTTTGCATGCTTTCCACAGCGAATAATTCGTATCTTGAGTTGAAGATAGGTTGTTTAGGTAAGTCCTAATAGATTCATTTTTATAAGCATTAATTGTTGATTTTAAATTTTCGCAGGCTCTATTAAGTCTTTTCTTATCTTCGGGATGCCTAGTGACTTGCCATATTTTACGCAATCTTCTTTTGATGGCTATTTGTTTTTTTATTTCCAAAGGAATGCTGAGAGTCTTGCAATTAACATCTCTGGGTGTCGAAATAGTTGCTGCTTGTTGTAGAATAGTTGTTACTTGATTGATGGCATTGTTGACTTCATCTTCAGTTTTCAGGCGAATGTTGCAGTGTAGGTTATTTTCAATAAAAATTTTATAAGTTATCCAGTTTGTGTATTTATTGGTTAGTAATTGACTGTCAGCAACAATATTGAAGTTTTGAGAATACGTTAGTATTACTGGTGAGTGATCCGAATTTAGGTCCAGGCAGGATCGAACTTCTATAGAGCTTTCTTGGATATTTTTGGTTATAAAAAAGTCGAGCAAGTCTGGTAATTTGCTTAAGTCAGTGGGCCAATATGTGGGTTCGCCTGTGGATATTGCATTTAGGTTTAGCAGGTTCATTGCTTTGTGGAGCTCACGTCCTCTGGGAGTAGTTAGTCTCGATCCCCAGCATGTGTTTTTTGCATTATAATCTCCTCCAGCGATGAATACATTACCAATGGATTGAAAAAAGTTCAAGAACTGTTGCTGACAGATTGTAGGTCTAGGAGGGCAGTATATTGCTGAAAAAATAATGGTTTTCGGAAATATGTCAACAGCAATATTTGTTGCTTGCATGTAGTTAGTGGAAAATGATTCTAAAACAGTATGTCTGATCTTGTTTTTAATAATTATGGCTGATCCACCATGCGCTGTTCCATCCGGATGATTTGTGCTATACGTTTGGTAATTAGTAATACGAAAGTCCTTTTTGTCTGTGAGATGAGACTCAGATATAAGCATGATGTCGATGTTGTTGTTTATTAAAAAATATTTAAGCTCCTGTGTATGCTGACACAGACCATTGGCGTTCCATAAACATATTCTTAAAATCCCTGCCATTAAAACTTCCTGTTTAAAATTGTTGTGAGTATATTGAGCATTGTGCTCATTTGTTCGGTCAGTGTTTTGATCATTGTTTTGAGTTCATATAGGTCGTTATTGTTGTTGTTTGTTTTGTTTGTAGTAGACTCTTCAGTAGTCTCTTCAGCTGGGTGTGTATTTCCACGAGCAATCCTTGAGTACGAAACTCCAGGTACTGTTGTGTTACTGGTAAATTGCCTATTGGAAGTGAATTGCCTTTCCCGAGGAGCTGGATATTTTCTTTCGAGCTGTTCTTTATAAACCCTGCAGCCTTTGTAGTTAGCCGGATGATTTCCATTGCAGAGAACACATGTTACTCCGCTATTTATTTTGTCTGTCCATGAGCATTTTTTAGTTGGGTGTTCCTGAGCGCATTTCACGCAGCGGGGAGTTCTGTAGCAAAAATTTCTTGTATGTCCTAGCCTTTGACATTGTGTGCACTGGACTATTTCGCGAGAATATCGTTTGGCTTGAATTTCAACTTTTGTTTTGCATAAAAATTCAATTTTGTAAAAATCTTTATTATTTTCTTTTTGCTCCAGTTCTACCGAGAGAATATTTAGTGGGAATTTTGTATATCTGCTTCTGAGGAAAGAGATGTGTACGACTTTATGCCCTAGTTCTTCTATTTCTTTTTTTACCATGTCTAGGTCGGTGCTAAAGTGTAAGTTTTTAACCACGACTTTAAATGACCGTTTTGACTTATCTTGATAGGAATGCATCTGTGTTCCTCTTTCTTTCAGTTTGTTTAGAATAATATTATAAGTTTGTGCACTTTCAAGATTTATTTTCACTTGTGATGTTCCTATAGTTTTTAGTGTGTATTGTTTCTTGGCTTCGCTTTCTAACAGTTCAATCAATGGCTTGATATTTCCCACTTCGTGAACAAAAATCGGTGGAGGTTTGATCGCTGTTTTATTTTGCACTTGTTTGTTTTGAGATGGTGAATTTTGATCAGATGTTTTTTCTAAAACTGCATAATAATTTCTGGTTGGAGTACTAGCTTTAAGCCAGTAGTCTTTCGTTACCACTACCTTGGCTTGTCTTCTTGAAGACTCCGTGGGTGTTGCTGCTCGTTTCTTGTGATTTACAACTTGCCAATCAACATTGGCATTAGATGTATTTGATTGATAGTTAATAGGATTAACAATGGGATCGTCAACAAACTCGTCGCTTTCCTCCATACTGTCGAAATCACTTTCATTATCATTATTTAAGGTTTCAAGCGCTTTATAAACGACTTTTGAGCACTCATGATGGCTGACCCCAGCCGGGGTCATGCTTCAAACACTGTTGTTTTCACTTGCACTATTTGACACTTCTATTGATAACAATGGCTTATCAGTAGTTTGATTATTGAATTCACGTACCCGTACAGGGTACGTAAATACTGCAGGTATAAAACCGGATTATTCGCAGGTATAACGGACGATGTGCACTGCTTCGTAGCTGAAGCAAAACTGATATAATTATATAATTGCGTAAAAGTAATAATATGCTAATCGAACTTCCCGATATAATATTAATTCTCAAATGGAAGTAGCAGAAGAAGATTTAGAAACGGAAGTATTTATTATTTGGTGAAAATATTTTATGATAAATGTTTTGCTTTTATTACAAAGTTTCCTACAATATTTATATATAAAATTGATCCAAAAAAATCAATTATTTCCTCATCAAAAGAAAATAATTAAATTGAATTTGATTCTCAAGTTTTGTGATTTTACTTTGATCAACACTGCTAAAATTACGAGTCATTGAGTTGATCATCTGGTGGACCGAAAAGTTTTACAACCCGTCATTTATTTGTGAATTTTTTAGAAAAATTATTTTTTATTGATATTTATTCATGAATTTTCTTTTCAAATAATTAATGAGAATTGACAAATCCTTAGATACATAAACAGCGCACTATAGAACACATTTGTTTCAAGTATTTCTGTTTCAAAGTTGTCGGAGTCGTGGAGTTGTTAAGCGGATATAACTCCTCTCTGATGCGGAGTCAAATTCGAACCGATCCGGCTTCGGATATGATAAGACCATCTCTATACTCAACATACAGCAAAATTACAAACAAAGTGATCTATCTGTATATAAGTAACAGTTTATATTAAAAGAAATTGAAGCAATGCGGTCTACAGATCGTATTAATGTAGGGCGCTGACTCTGGACAATAAGGAAAACTTGTTCAAACAAACATACTTCATCTTTTTTCGCTTTGGACCCTATCTCAAAATCAGTACTCCGTACGCAGTCTCGCCTACTTGAATTTTCTATTCCAACTATATAATAATTAAAACTATATAATCAAACTAATATTATAATTATCAATTTCCTCCCCCAGGCCAGTTCTGAAAGCAAACAAAAGCACAGGCAGCTTCCTCCCTCACACCACGACGAACCACCAGCACCACTTCGGCTCCTCCCACCATCACAGTTCCTTTCACCCGTGGCGCCCTTTGGCGTCTTCGGTGTCGGCCCACGATCTGGCGCAGCTGAACCGCCGGCTGCTGCGATCGGCCGTGCCTCTGCTCCGGAGTCACACGAGCAGTGGCGGCGGACACGGAGGGGCCGCTGCCGGAACCGGAGTTGTGAATCCGATGGTGATCGGCGCCGGAGAGAGGGAACGTGTGGGGAGTGCGGGGGATCTGGGTGCAGTTGCCGGAGTGGGAAACACGATGGGGGACCACGGAAGGTGCTCGAGGTAAAAAATAGTTTTGTTGCATTTTTTATATGTGGTGGAGATGTGGTTGGAAAAAGTAGTAGGCAGTTAAAAAAAGTAGAGTAAATGTTAAAAAAATTATTTTGTGTATATTAACCGCAAAATTATGTTTACCAAAACAAATTCCACACCCGTAAGTAATACTGTATTTTGTGTAAATTATAAAATTTTATTTTTAATAATTATATTTATAAAATATAATTTGTGAACTGAAATACCTCGCTCAAGTTTATATAAATAAATACTATTTTAGTCTAGAAAAAGTCATATAGATAAAAAGAAGTAGAAAGTCATATCATATTTAATAAATAAATAAATCATATCAAGTCATATCAATAAATCATATCAGTCATATCAATAAATAAATAAATTAATTAATAAATAAATATTTTAAAGTTTAATGATGAGCATAAAAAATAAGACATGTTTGTGTATAAGTGAATTATATTAGAAATTATGTTTCCGTTTAATGATAAAGATTTATACTAGTGTTTATACACATTTTGAATAGTATTTTTTTCGAAAAACCGGTTTAGAGTTGTTAAAAAACAAATTAACAGAAAATTTGGAGTGATTGAAAGCAGTTTTTGACTGAAATTATATAATAATTTTTTATGTATTTTTTTTGAGTTGTATTTTTTTAAAACCCATTATTTAACCTGTTTAGAGTTTAAAAAAAAATGAACAGAAAATTTGGAGTGATTGAAAGCAGTTTTTGACTGAAATTATTTGCCATTAAATTTTATACATAATCATTTTTTATGCAATTTTTCGAGTAGTATTTTTTTAAAACCCATTTAACCTGTTTAGAATTAAAAAAAAATTTGGAGTGATTGAAAGCAGTTTTTGACTGAAATTATATGCTATTAAATTTTATTCATAATCATTTTTTATGCAATTTTCGAGTAGTATTTTTTTAAAATCCATTTAACCTGTTTAGAGTTTTAAAAAAAATTAACAGAAAATTTGGAGTGATTTTAAGCAGTTTTTGACTGAAATTATTTACTTTTAAATTTTATTGATAATATTTTTTTTATGTGATTTTTCGAATAGTACTTTTTTTGGAAACCCCATTTTTAACCGGTTTAAGGTTTGAAAAAAAAAAAACAGAAAATTTTAAGTGATTCTAAGCAGTTTTTGACTGAATTTATTTACTATTCAATTTTATTAATGATATTTTTGTTATGCAATTTAGAAGTACAAAAAATAATAAGTGCCCAAGATATAAACATTTTAAAAACAATTAATTATGTGTTATTTATGCATAATTTTTACATATAAGGATGCAAATATTTTTTAGTATTTTTATTACTGTGGTACTTTTGGCTACAATTGTGATTTTCAAACTTTTCATGTGTTATTAATTTATTGAAAACCGATATTTTCTAATAAAAACTGATTTCCTAAAAATTGACAAACCGACCGAGACGTTTTTTCATATAAAAGTTCATTTTAAGAAAAAAAAATGTGTTTAAAAGTGGTATAAATATGGTTATTAAAATTAAATTTCTATAAATATAGTTATTTAATTGACAAAATCTAATTTTTATAATTAACATAATATATGATATGACTTACAAAAATGGAATTTGTTTATATAGACTTGAGCGAAGTATTGCAATTTATATATTATATTTTATAAATCTAATTATTAAAAATACAATTTTATAATTTACATAAAATATAGCATTACTTACGAGTGTGGAATTTGTTTATATAAACATAGTTTTGCAGTTTGTAATTTATATTAATTCACGTCAAATATTTACAAATTTAATAACAAATGTGCAAATTCATTAAGCATTAGTCGTTTTATTATAAATCATTTTCATGAGTTTGATCGAAAGTGTTCAGTAGTTTTTTAGCTCTAAGTTCTATTTGTTAAATACATACGTTTTTTTATTTAATTTAGTAACTATAATAAATCGTTTCATAAAGATTTCTTTATATGTGCACTTGACATTTATACAGGTAGGCATCAAAAATATCAAATCAAATTTTGGTACCTGATCTTTATCAATAAATTTCTATCCGTTTAATATTTTTTATGATTATTTAAAGACATTATCGATTATAGAGACGCCAGCTATGTTTATCGGGGTTTTATAGTTTCGATATGATAATTATAAATATATTAATTTACATAAAGAATACATAATATGATAAATATTTACATATATTTATGACTGATACATTTGTACGACAGCATTATATTAGTAAACGTTGGTGAATGCGGCGAAAATAAATATTCGAAATTTGATAAAAAATTTATTAAAAAATAATTGTTAGTGTATCTAAAATGCGCAATAAGTTATATTTTGAAACATTTGATACAAATATGTATAAATGCTTAAGAAACATTTTGTTGTTTAAATTTTTAGTGAATGTTCTAACCTCAAAATAATTTAATAATATTAATCGGCGACATTTATAATGAAAAGTGTTTTATTTTTATTTTAGCTGATTTTAAATAGTGCTGATAAAAGTGTTGGTTATACAAAACTCTATCTAATAACATATTATAAAAGTGATAAATATATGAATCATAATTAAAATTTTAGTTTTTGCAATATTGTGTTGATAAATACATGTGTCTGTTACATAATGTGTACTATTTCTGAAGTATTTGTAAAACAAATACGTGGACCTCTAATTAAAAAAAGAATGAATATAATTGGTTTCTTGTAAGTGTTGAATAGAAAAATTTAATTCTATTGTTTTCGTCCAATGCCAGTATCATTATTTTTATGATGAATTAGAATCTCTGAAGTGTGTTTCAACATTCTAAGCTGTGCCAAGAGTGATTTCATAATGATATTCTTTGAAATGTAAATACTGCATGTATTATATATATCAAAATCATTTTTCATCTATTTCTCTTATCCTCCAGATGTTCGAGCCTACTTTCCATGGCCTCCGGGGGTTCCCGCTATTCTTTGGTGCAAGGCGGAGGAGCCTTCGTATCAGTTTCGAAGGAAACACCGACGACTCCTCCTGGTGGAGTTGTCCAGGAGGAATCAGAAGACAAAGAAGAAAAGGAGCAACAACCGCCTATTACATGCAAATTGTGCCTCACCGAATCGTCTGATGTCACCAGATTGACAGGGTGCGGATGCGTCTTCTGCACAGAGGTAAGATAGTAGATAAGTTGTATATTAGTCCAATAAATTGAACTGGCATCCGATTTCCGAGATATTTTTCCCAAGAGTGTCTTATTACCATAAGATCTTGAAAAAGTATTCCAAATCGGAAGTACCAATGATGCGAAACCGGACAATCGCGCCAGAATTGCGGAAGTGAAAATATTTCCGCGGTCCGAACGGAAGAAGGTCAGCGAGTCAGTCGGAAATGACCTCGGTCAGTCCAGATAATTTTGCTTTTGCTCATTCGAATGAAATCATATCGAATTTCTTGAAAATAAATCGAATGTTTTATGTGATTGATTTCAAGATTTGACAGGGTCATGATATTATTGCAAATATTTTAATCGGTTTATCACAGGAATAAAAATTATAAAGTACTGTTTAAAAAAAATTATATGTGTTGTCATACACATAAAAATTGCAAAGGTGTGTCAGTAAAGATAAATTTTATTTAAACATAATTTAATCAAAATCGATATAAGATTTTTCAGGGGGAGTTGTGGGGGGGGGGAGTTTCGACAAAAAACACGAAACATTACGTCGGGGAGAGAGGGTATAGTATGATATCACGTGCATTTATTTTTTACCTATTTTTTTATAGATCCGATCCGATTTTTTATATAAATTTTCGAAAAAAATTAAAAATAAAAATACAAATTTTCTCGTAACTAAAAATACACGTTGTGTGGATAATTTTGAGTATCACCGCGTATCACTAAGGGGGTGTCCAAAAATCCTTTAAAAATCGATCACGTGATTAATGAACGCCCCTAATTAATCTCTTTGTAATTTAGTTGATTTTTTTTTTTTGACTATTGTGATGACTTTTGTGTGATGATTTGTGAATTTATTGACTTAACGAACACCCTAAAATATTATAGGCCTACAAGAAGTGCCTTAATCATAAAAAATCATTAGGAAAATATTTTGGAAATTTTTGGAATAATGTGCAGTAACGTAGGGCGAGGCACAAAGTTCCAATTTGACTTCAAGTACTAAATGTGCTACATTATAACACGTATCAAACAACTAACTATCGAACTACGTTCTAATTATAGAAGGTTGATTTTTTAATATTTTTTTTAAATTTGTAATCTGTCCCTTTTTACTCCATAGACGGGGTAAAATGGGACAACCAGAGGGCAAATAGATCCAGTGCATTATTTTTATTTTTTAAGTGATTTTATAAAATAATAGCTTATTCATTTTTACAGAGATAACACTGTATATAACCTTGATTTGGTATTTTGTCAGAAATATTCATCAAGAAAGTATGAATAACAATTAATCACTTGAAATATTGGCTTTTTTAACTTAATTCATTTTTTGTTTAGTTTTGTTTATTGTGTACACTTTTGCCAAGGTAAACGTTCATTTCATACTTTTTACCTTAAAATTAACAATACATCTTATAAAATAATTAAATATGGTGTACTTAAAAGTAACATTCAGATATGATAAACTAAACATTTAACTAGTGCTCAAAACGAGAAAAACTAACGACAATAATACTTTTTCTCCTGATGTCGAGGTCGACTAATTTAAGGCGATGGCTTGTAATTTATTTTTTGTCCCGTAGGGTAAGTTATACTAATCGTAAAAAAATCAGAAATTTTTATATATCATTACGTTTCAAAGGTTTCTGAAGATTTTGACATACCTTAGAAATAATTTATATATGTGTATGTGTGTGTGTTTGTGCGAAATTTTTGTCGGCGATATCGGGAACACGGATTAACCGATTTGAATAATTCAAAAAGCATTCGATTCGTATTGATAAGGAGACGTGCTGATTAGTTTTTGGCGAAGGCAGGTCTAGCCGTTCCGAAGATACAGGGCAAAAAATGACAAAAACGGTAACTCAGTTTTTAAGAGAACGGAGCGTCCGATTTTAATAATTCAAAGAACATTTTACTTGTATTGATAAGATGACGAACTGATTAAATTTCTGGGAAGGCAGGTCCACCGGTTATGGACTCCCAATAAAAATAAGTTAAAAAATGTAAATTGGCGGTCGGAATGTTTATTGGACACATGTACATCAAATTATCAGATATTTTATAGAGATTTTAATAATGTGTATGAATTTTGTGTAAATTTTTTGGGTTGCGCACCAAGATTTTTAATTACGGCACAGGAAGTTCGAGCAATTTGCCTTAAGGGACGATGCCATGCACCCCACTAGTTTTTGTGATAATGTTGGTCACGTAGAAATAAGCACTGCAATCTTCTAGTGATTACTCTGTTTTATTACATTTGCAATATTAAAGATATTTAGTGGGGACTTTTTTGCGAGATGCAGTACATTTCACTTTTTGCCATTTTGCAATTTTTTGTATTCGAATCTGGACCCATATTTCTGGAATCCCTGATTGTACCTCTGTTAAGTTTATTGCTCAGGGCGTGGTTCGCATTCCGATTCCTCCGGATCCTGCTGCGGTATGCGGAGCAGGTGCGCCGCAAACACAATAAATAAACAAATACACCGGTTCTATTTTTAACCTAGCATTTATTTCATGTTGTTCGGGCCGTGAGCTAAATTTAATACGTATCATATATTTATGATTCACGATTTTCGATAATTATCGTTTTATAAGCACGCGACGACCGAACTCGTGCAGACCATAAACAAAAACTGACATTTGAATTAAATATAGGAAACGTTCAAATTTACGTGCCGATATGAAAAAACGTTTATTGTAGAAAACAAATATGCTGAAAATTTTCCAGTTGTTAAAACAAAATCGATGGCCGGTTTCGGCTTCAGACACGTGGAGGAAAAAAACTTGATATAAATATAAATAAACAAGTGTGCTAACAATTTGATGTATCGATTTTAAGTATTGGGATTTTGCGGATTTTGTTGTCAATAGGCGTTTATTGACCGGGTGGCCATCGAATATTTACAGATTTTTGTACATTTCTCTTCCGCTTAAAGTTAAATTTATTTAAAGTTAAATATATTTCCAATATATTATTTATAATAATTCTAGTTATTGTATTTTATATTATTTCTTATTACTTCTATATTTAAACTTTATTTACTTCCCGTAGGGTAGTTATAGTAATGGGCCGAAAATCGAAAATGAAAATTTTTGCATATCTTCAGTGGTTTCTGACCATTTTCTGACCACATACCTCAGAAAAAATGTATGTGTGTGTGTGTGTGTGTTTTGTATGTCCGCATTTTTTTGGTCCACGTTTTCGGGCGCACGGATCAACCAATTTGAATGGTTCAAAAAACATTCGATCCTTGTTGATAGGGAGATGTGCTGATTAGTTTTTGGCAAAAGCAAGTCCAGCTGTTACGGAGATGCGGAGCAAAGAGTGCAGAATATACAAATCGAGTTTTTAAGAGAACGGAGTATCGGATTTGAATGATCCAAAAACATTCAATTTGTAATGACGGGGAGAAGTGGTGATTAGTTTTTGGCAAAGGCAGGTCCAGCTGTTTCAGAGATACCATGCTAAATGTGCAAAAAATGGCAGTTTTTGATAGAACTAAGCATCCGATTTGAATTATTCAAAAAACTTTCTGCTTGTGTTGACGAAAAGAATATTTAATATTGTGTTGAAGAAAGAAACATTTAATATACCTCGAATATTTTATTACGGTACGGGAAGTTCAAGCAATTTGCCTTAAGGCACAATGCCATTTACTACTAGTTATATATTTATTTCAGCGGCAATCAGAATTTAACATAAAGTCCTATGAGCTACTGTGATGACTGCAACCCAAACATTGCTCCATGTGATAAATTTATTATTACATTTTTGTTAATACTGATGGCATTCTTTATTAAAGCAATATATTGCTATCTATATTTTCAAGTAAAAATCGATGTCACTACTGCTTGACATCAGGTTGTCCAATGCGCAACTTGTGAATAGAAACCCATATGGCTCCAACCAGTAAGCCACAGAAAGAAAAAATCAAAATATTAAATACGTTAAAAATTTTATTTGGGACTAAGGTTCTATATTCTGAAAAAGTTTCTTGTACCTTTTGACGAAAATGTTTTTGAAGGACTTAAGACGAGAAAGAATTGGTTGATGGGCGATTTATAATTATTATTAAATAATGTTATATTAAGAATATAACAGGATTTCTATCGAAAACAGAGTACATAAATTACATTGAAGGAAAAACAATTGAGGTAAAACATTCCTTGAAAATTTGACTTCGAACTGTGAGGCTCGGCCCATAAAAGATTCTTCGATTTATTAGCATAATATTTCTATTATATATCCTTGTGCAAATAGTGCTTATAACTAAATCGGCCTTCTCCGCCACCGCAATCTGGTTACATTCGGATAAGTGAATTTTGGCAAAGGGCCAAGGGAATAGTTTTCGTGCAAGAGCACTCCGCAGTCTATCGATTTTACTTAAACCGTGGTGACCTTGTCCTCTGCCGTTTTGTACCAGTCGCAACATACTTGATTATCTGCAGAAAGACTAGTTATAAAAGATTATTTAAAATAATCAACGTTTTTTAAAAAAAATTATTAATCTTTCAAAAAATCTCAGAAGTATTTTTTATTTATTTAGATTTGCAAACTCAGTAATAGTCCTATGCATGCCTATAAATTTAAAATATCAGATTTTGTTAAAGTAAGTATTTTATTGTGATCACAAACAACATCTAGTAAAAACTTCATCCATCCATCCAGCCAGGTCAACGTTCCAATATTTTTTATTTAATTTCTGCGTTTTTTTATGTTTATGCGATGTTTACGAATTGTCTAATACTGAATTGTTGGCGATAATCCTATCTGTCCGTTTTTTATATCTTCACAATCGTTTCATTTAATGACAACAAAACAAAAAGCATCTATATTTAGATTTTTGTTATTCTTTTCCCACGAATTTTGACGGGCGTGCCAATTTTAATGAGTCTGATATAAAGATAGAATTAGAAAGAGGTGGTAAATGACTGGGTTTAGGTTGATAGGATGAATCATTTTATTGAAAAAAATTATTATTATACAGTTCTTGGTATGACCAAGAAAGTTGAAATAGTCTAATATTTAATATAACTTAAGTGGTAAACTCCACACTTAACTACATAAATTTTCACTCCAATTCTTCAAGTTTGTGCCAAACTCCATCGATCCCCGCACTTCTATTACCATTATGATCTTGGAATCAGTTTCAAGGCAACATCCCCAATAGCCATATACATTTCATCCAAAACAGACTTTTGGAAATCGGTTATTTCCCCACATCGATATTAGCTCTAAGTGTGTTTTTACATCCGAAATTGCTCCGATTTCTCGAGTTGGCGACTTACCAAAAAACGATGTTGCGGAATTCAATTATAATAACATGATAAGTGGATATAGGGCAGATTGGGGCATAGATGTAAAAAATGTGTAATCAATTAAATAAAAGTTTAATGAGTGAAATGACTATAAAGAAGAAGAATGCGGACTATTGACTCTAATATCAATATAGTCAATCTCGATTTTTGCGACTTTTATAACGATCTAGCTAGACCTCTAAATTTTATTTCCAAAATCTTTTCTTTTATTTCTGGACCAGCAGCCAGGGGTCGAGCAGATCGACCTTGATGCAAGTAGTGCTGTCGACGCGCAGTAATCGATATTCGCGATATAGTCAGTTCAGTATGTACTTACGGAAAGCGCAATGCGACAAAGTTACAAAACACATATGGAGAAGCCCATCTTATAATTAGGAGGAAACAAATTAATGAAAAAATTGCGGAAATTAGATGGCATTTTTACTTTTTTATTGGATCTCCAAAACCGCTGCACTGCCTATCCAAAAAATTAATCAGTTCTTCATTTCGTCAATATAAATAACATGTTTTTTTGAGACATCCAAATTGGATGCTCCGTTCTCCTAAAAACTGAATTGCCATTTTCAGCACTGAATTTTGCCCCTAATCTTCGAAACGCTGGACCAGACTTTGCAAAACAAATCAGCACATCTCCCTATCAATAGGATTTGATTGATTCGATTCGGTTGATCCATGCGCCCGAAAACGTGGACGAAAAATTGTATCCATACATATACACACACATCCATTTTTTCGAAAATATGCCAAAATGTTCAGAAACCTTCAAAACGTGAAGAAATGCCAAAAATTTCAATTTCGATTTTTGGACGATTACTATTACCTTACTTACCCTACGAGATGTTAAAAAATAAAAATATGCTATCCTCTGTCCGTTCTTTCAATATTAAGTGCCGACAAGTGTTTACTAATAATATCAACACACATTTCGCGAATTGTAACAGTTATAAATGATTGTCGAAATGAAGAAAACAGAGTCAGTCCGAAATAAAAAAGGCGGCGTCGAACGGCGCCCCACGCCTTCTATTTATATCACGGACGGTCATCGTTATATTTTATGGTGCTATCAATCTTATCAAGGCCGCTTTTTATGCTCGATTATGGCTTTTCTATGCTAATACTAAATGAAAGATTATGCTGGGAAATGGAAATGGAAAATTCGAACGCCCTACTGAACGCCTTTCGCTCTGTTCATGAAACAATGATGAACGGAATCAATAGACGGCAGAAGGTAATTGAAAATTCAGTAAACCAGGAGGTAAATTATTATCGAAACTAGGGTGTAAATCCGTACAAATGCAACGGAAGTCCGTTACGAACGAACTGTTCGTCATTCGCTCTCGATGAGATCATTTCTATGCGGGTTGATTGTGATTGGTCGTCGTGTATGTGAATAGAATTCTGTCGTTGTATGCGTACCGATATTAACAAGGAAATCGGCATAGATAAATAAACATTTTAAAGTTACATTGTAGTACAAATCTTGATTTAACAAAAAAATGCTCGAATCAGAAGAATATTTTACCCTGTTCCTTGAAAATAATAAAACAAATTAAACATTTGTGCCGTGTACTAAACGTAAGTTTATTGGTTAGAAATTATTTCTATATTATTCGTAGTTTCTATGAATCTTTGAAGTTATTAAAATGGAAAATATTTTTTAGGCAAGACAGATATTACAGTTGTTCAAAGAATGAGGTCATATCGCCAGCGAAAAAGTAAAAAAAATACAAGCAGTCAATGAATGTATGTTAATTTTAATTACATAAAGTTCTTCAAACAAAATTATTACAAGATGAGTAAAGTTGCGAAAACAATATTTGTTTAGGCGTTGTTTTACATAATTCACTGTGTGAACAAATATTATAAAAGTTATTAATCAGCAATTACTTCATTTCCCTGATGAAAGTTCATTTCTAAGTTAATTTTTTTATTTCAGAATTCTCAAATATCAAAAACACAATTCCTTAATATGGTTTTTGATTATGTGATTTTTAATAAGTTTTAACAATCGTCATACTATCTAAACTAAACCGATTCAAGGGGAGAAAGATGGAGTATGTTTGTTAGAACAAGTTTCCATTATTGCATTGAGTCAGCGCCCTATATTAACATGGTCGTCTTGTAGACCGCATTGTTTTTAAAGAATCGAAAGTAAGTTTTTTTGTTCCCTCGCCTTTTTCTTGTCTGATTTGAATTCTTAACTAATCCGTCGTATTTAAGGTTCAAAGTACCATTTAATTTACTTCTCTCCAGCTAAGTGGTAAATTAACAAAATTATTGCTGATCAAAAAAATTACACAATCGTACCCAGTTTCTCCTACGATCTGTATAAGAAACATCTTTAAGGGGTGCTGATCAAAATAAAAAATACACAACCCTACCCAGTCTCCCTTACGATCTGTATAAGAAATATCTTTAAGTTATATATAAATATACACAGTTAGAAAATCTAAATTAAAATCGGTTCAGTAATTTAGGAGTGAATTCCAGACAAACGTCGTGACCCATACTTTAATCACACATAACTATTCAGTGGAAAATAACTAATTACTTTAAATAATTAATTAAAACTACGGGAATAATCTGTATCAATCTAGTTAATTGCTAAGAGTACATGAACGAGTAATTCAATTTCTTCTAATATTTCATTTGACACAAACAAAAATTTTCTCGAAAATAATTTAATTAAATCATGAAAGTTTATTCCATTTCAGTTGTTCATCACTCAATTCAAGAGAATGTTTTTTTTGATAAATTATTATGCTGTTTTCGTGTTTTTCTCGATTTCTGAATTCTTGCCAAGGAGCGAATGTCAACAGAGGAACGCGAATAATAAAATATCGATATTACGTTTATGATAATTTGCAACCTTCTTTACGACAATCGTTAAACTCCAAAATATTTGGCAAAAGCGCATTCCATTAGGCTCCGCCATGGAATTTTAATTTACTAATATTATCGATTGCGCTGGATACTTATTATATTTTTTCCTTTTCCAGTGTATGCGTTCTTATGCAAGATTTGAAGTATTAGCCGGTGCCTACACCATAACCTGCCCCGATGCCGAATGTCCAGCCAGAGGCGTCCAGCCTGGCACAGTTGTGCAGCCCACCAGCAGCGCCCTCACCCAGGACGAAATCAAGACATTGGCTGGCGAGAGGCTGCTGCAGAAACACAATCAGTACAGACTGAACAGAGGTAAGAAGATAGAAGATAAATTTTAAAAAAATTGTATGATTATTATTATTTATTTTTTAGAAATCGATATGGATCGTACGAGAACCTGGTGCCCTCGTGCAGGTTGCGAGACTGTTTGCTCGGTGGCTGCTCCAGATGGTACTACAGCTGCTGCAGGTGCTGCTTCAACAGCAGCAGGATCTAGTTTGGGGGCTGCTGCTCCCAGAAGACCTCCTGTGTGTGCTGTGCAATGTCCAACGTGCAGTGATGAATTCTGCTCCAGTTGTAAAAAACAAGTAAGGGATAATAATTACTTGAATACAAGTTACAAATTGGTTTTTATTATTTATTTCTGATCTATTAGTGGCATCCAGGACAAACTTGCGAGCAATATGCACTGACACTAGGAGCTGAAGAAGGATTTCCGTTACTTCTGGCAGGTCCTGGTGGCTCCGAGTTGATCAAAAGCTGTCCACTTTGTTCAGTGCCAATCGAGAAAGATGAAGGCTGTGCTCAAATGATGTGCAAGAGGTGTAAACATGTCTTCTGCTGGTACTGTCTTACTTCACTCGATGTAAGTAGTATGAGATCATACACCTTATACCAGTGATTCCCAACCTTTTTTGGGCCCCGCCCCACCTTGAGGTTTATAAAAACGTTATGCCCCCCCCATACAATTTTTTTTTCTCCCAGAAAAAATGAGAACGATAACTTTTAAGATGAAATCGCTATTAAATTGTTATTAAACATCATAAGTAAAATTTCGGAATAAGCCAACATACGGAAAATTTAAACTAATTTTATTACTGTTCTTTTTCGAAATTTATTTAATGCAATACTTAAGCTAAAATAAAGATTTTATAGTAGGTTCTAATCAAAGCTTTTTCTTTTTTTCAATAAATTATAGCAAACTCTTGTACATATGATTACATTTGGGCATTTAGTTTCAGTTTCTTCATAAAGCCACTTCTTAACGAATTTACTTGACGTTTTCTTAAACGGAATTATATCTTAATTTTATATATTTTTTGTTAAATCTTTTTTAGTTATCACATTGGCAACTAAGTAAGTGCGCATATTTTTCTAGAAATTGATAGTTATCGTTGGCAACTAAGTAAGTGCGCATTTTTGTTAAAAAATCAAAGACAATTTTTGCGTAGAATTAAATAACTTTGTTATGTATACCATTTTGATCGATGGCCTTTTGTTATTTTCAAAGAAGCATCATTATCCCAAGTTTATAAAACTTCTAGTTTTTATTAGCAAAAACTGAATTACACACAATTTGACACCATCATGATTTTTTTTAATTCAAGGGTTTTAAATCAGATGGTTTGTGGTCAGGAACATTTGGTGGATGTGGAGAAAATTTTTCACCAACCCCCAATAATTTTTAAACATAGCGAAATTGTTTCTATTAGCCCAATCGATTATTGCTTTAATTAGTTTGTCCAAAACTTTAACTGGACAATCAGAGCAGCATTGAGTGGAAAATCACCAGAATGACATTTTCAAAATCAATTTTAACATAGCTGCTTTTCAAAGCTTCGACACCATAAACAGCACCTATTCTTTGGGAGCATCGTTTTACCCTTTGCAGAAATAAAAATGCAAAATTTGACTAAAATGTTTGTTTTGATATTCCATCTTTCAACGCTCTACACAACCGATCAAAAAAGTATTTTCTACTAATCGAGAGCTAAATTTCTCACATACAATACTACCTCAACCTCAACAACCCTAAAGAATCATTTGAAGAAATCTGTTTAATACTACAATTAAATACTATTTAAGGATACAATAAAAATTAGTTTATTTTAAATTAATTCCATCTTTTGGCATAGTTACTGACAGTGAGTAAAAAACTCACGTCATATTTACAATTTTGCCGCTTTTAAAGCCTTGTATAAAACTCTGTTCTCATAAAACTTTTCTTGTGCACATTTCAAGTCGAGTCTTGTCACAGATCTTTAAATAAAGCAATCAGAAACTTGATTTTCCTATTTTTTTGGTAATTTTCATAAATTGGAATATAGAAGTTTAAAATAATTAGTGAAGGGCTACTGCTACCCAAATAATTAGAAAAAGTCAAGTCAACCCGAGAAAACCATAACTCCGGCACAAGGAAAGCAAGGTTGAAAAATAAAATCATCGCGGCCACACCGGGACACCTTATTTTTCTAAATCTAAGAAGCATTTTTTTGTTAAATGTTTTACCGATACTATACTGCATCACATTAAAATCACCAAAATTTTCAAATTGCCCCCCTGAAATTACAAATTGGCCCCCGGTGGGGCGTGCGCCACACGTTGGGAAACACTGCCTTATACGATCATGATCATGATCAATTAATACAATTTATAGTCTGTAATTTTGCTTGGATTTTGTGTATATGAATTGTATCATTTTTCTTATTTTCAGGATGATTTTCTGTTACGCCACTACGACAAGGGGCCATGCAAAAACAAATTAGGACATTCTAGAGCTTCCGTAATCTGGCATAGAACACAGGTAATAATACTGATCATCGAGTTTTGTCTTCATCGAATAGTTGGTCAATTATATTTTTCAATTAATTTTTAGGTAATTGGAATATTTGCTGGCTTTGGCATTCTACTCTTAGTCGCTTCGCCTCTTTTATTGCTAGCGGCACCTTGTATAGTTTGTTGTAAGTGCAGAGTGTGCAACGGAGCTGCAAGATTGGACCAGGAGGAAGGAGAAGATCAGGATGGACATGATGGAGATGATGATGGTTGAATTGAATATTTGAACTAATGGTAAATGAAATTAGAAAGAGATTTGAAAAGCATCAACAAGAATGAAACAAAATTTTAGTTCAGAAAAGCAGTCGGTCAATGAAGGTTAGTTAACCAGGATTAAATTTTTGATAAATGAGAGTGATGTTTGTTAGTTCAATTGGGAAAAATGATAAATGTGAAATGCTATACACACTCCAACGTATTTTGAAATATTGATATGTGATTAAAACAAGAATAAATGAAAGTAGCAGTTTGCATAAAGTAGTTTCCGCAACAAAATATTAAAGGCGTTCTCATGATATCATTAACTATGCAAAGTTAAGAAAATATAGTATCGTAATTGCTGAAACTTAACACCCAAGCAGTATGTTTAAGTTTATCTATATTTTTGCCTTGAGAATAGGTTCTTCCAAATAATGTAATAAGTATGAAATTTTTGCATTAAAATATGTGTTATTAATAACATCAAAATGGACTAAAGATGCATATCAAGGCCTAAATTATTGTTTATTAGTGAAGTGATACTTAATATAATAATTCACAAAAACAATTTGACTTGTACTTATTAATCAACAATGTGATTTAAACGAGTGGTAAAAATGTGGTTCTATTATGACATTGAACTTAGAAAGATTGTTTATTTTATATTTATAATATTTTTTATTTAAGTTGCATCTAAAATGAGTTGGCAGCGGTGATATTGATATTACTAAGTGATCACTAATGTTATTTTTAGTTTAGACTTATATAAAATATGGTCTATTGTGAAATGTGTTTGCTGAAGTAAAGGATAGAATGATATGTGATATATATTAATCGAAAAATTGTTGATATATATATATATATATATATATATATTTATATAATAAATATTGACAATTCACTTAAATATGCTAGTGATAATTAAAATTTATAGTGGTCAACGATCGAATATATATATATATATATATATATATATATATATATATATATATATATATGATGTCTTCTCATATTTAATAAATAAAGTCGAATTTTATAAAATAATTTAATTAACAATACCTTATTTATACGTTTAGAAACTTGATAGGTGTCATCAATAAGTTGTTTTTATAAAATTTTATTCAACAATAAATCATTTGTAAATAAATTTTTAATTAAAAATTATGAACTTTATAAATTTTTATTAACATAAAAAATTAAGATTTATAAACTTATTTGTTTATAAATTTATAACATATCAAAAATATAAAAATATACTTAATTTTTTAATCGAACATAATTTTTAATTTTTCAATATATTTGTTATTCATTTTTTTATCATTTCATCATTCATTTTATCAGTTTATAAATTTTATACCTATCATAAATTATTTCTATATTTATAAAAATTTTTCAATTTTATATTTTTTATTTTGCTTTGGTTTTTTCAATTAAATTATAATTGAATAATTTTAGAGCAAATGTTTTATTTTTATCATTTTTATATTTTGTTTCAATCTAACAATCATTTTAACATATTTTTTTTATATTTTGTTATGTTTTTGTGTTTTAATGTTAATTAAATTAACAAGTTAATTTTATATAAAAAAATTTAACCTTTTTGTTTAATTTTTCTTATAATGAATAGCTAAATGATAACACACAACAAGTTTCTAAACGTATACATAAAAAATTGTTATTAATTAATTCATTTTTTGACTGGCAGCTTTATATATATATATATATATATATATATATATATATATATTTTGTTGTTATTAAGCACGGCCTAACATATTCACTTATTTTATAAGTAAGTATATTAATAAACAATTGTAAATAATTTCTCTTAACTTATATTAAAATTTTGAATTTCTAACACTCTAGATAGACATCACAGATTTTTTTATTGATATTGAATTTAATTCTCGATAAAAAAAGGTTGTGATGCACAGGAAATAAATATACATATATATTTTTTTTATAGTTTATAGTTGTAATATATATATGCAATCATAATTAAATACACAATATTATATATGTTTAATATAAATACACGAATGGCATTGTTTGACTTAAACTTATAATGCACGATTGGGATAAAAGAAATATATATATATATATATATATATATATATATATATATATATATATGTATGTGTATATTAAGTGGATGGATTATTATGTATGGTATGAGTAGCCTGACGTACAAAACAAAATTTGTTTCTGAATATTCTAAACACGAACAAATTGATTTTGTAAATTACAATATAACATGATTTATTATAGAAAAATTAAATTTTTAATTTGCATTATGTTATGGAAAGCAAAACGAAAGAGGACATGTTGTGTTCATAAAATTTAAATCATATTTATAGTTTTTGAGTATCGATACAATTTATTTTGAAAATATTAATAATATCAATGGCAATCGTTATAATGTTATATTTGTTTAATATTCTATTGGCATATATATATATATATATATATATATATATATATATATATATAATTCTAATATTGTTTTGTTAGACTTTTTTTAATCCAAAATAAAAATTTAATTCTTCTATTACCATGATGGAATTGATTGAATCAGTGGTGAATTATTCAGTGTGATGGTGTGTGTCGATGTTGTATATTTTTTTAAAGAAGATACTTAGTAAGCGAATTATATTATTATTAAATATAATGAATAATAATTAATTATATTATTATCATCAAAGTGTTTTTAGCTAACATAATTCTTTCCGGAGGGCAGATATTTTTATTCACACATTGTGTAGTCATTGTGAGGAATGTAATAATATGATATTGAGTATTTTTAAATATATTGAAACATTAAATATTTACTAAAAACTTAAAAGTTAAACGGTGTTTCATTATAGGAATAATAGAAATTTTTTGCATATTGCATGTAGCATATATAAGTGGGTTTTTGATGTAAGACGAGTTGCATGAACAATGAGATTTCAAAATTGTAAATTATGAGTGATTTTTAAGTATATCGAGTTTTTTTAAAGCAATATAATTAAAGAACTTTCCGACATGTATAAATAATACAGTTAATCAATAAGAAATCAACATTCAAAGGCCATGTTACGTAGCGTTTTTCATACAAAATGGTACTAAAAACTGTCAAAATGCTATTTATTTACAGATAAAAAGGCAACTTCACTCATATGTTATTATTACACAAAGATGCACATATGATAAGCACTCTTCTTTTATCTATGATGATAAGATTGTGCGTTTTCTAGGTTAGGTTATTTAACCATTTAATTAAGACAGTTTTTAGTACCATTTTATATGAAAAATACAGTATAACATAGCTTTGCCATAACATTTTACGGGAGAATCGGCAGAAACTGACTGACTTTTACCAAATCAGATATTAATATAAAAGGTTGTCCTAACCTGTCTCCAAATTGACCTTATCCCAATGCACAACAAAAAACTCGTTATCCCCTCTTGAATAAATATTTTTTCCTTACGTCTTATCTATTTCATTTAAATAAAGTTCAACACAAGGCCGTCCTCTTTCTAATAATTGAAGATATAATAGAACCATCCATGTCACACCTAAAATTTCTAATGTTTTATTTACATTTCTTTGTGTTAATTTAATTTTATACTAGACACGAAAGTATTTAAATGAATTAAGTGAAAAAATGAGTTGAAATGTATATTTGAAAAAATATTTTTAACTTCTTTCTTGTACAGACTTTTACTCATGCCTATTTATCTATATGCTTTTACTTTTTTGTTTACTTGCGCCCAACTTCTCTGCAATGTTTAATTTTGAAATTTTTTTCTTATATTTTATATATTTTAATTTGTTAACATATTCTAGATTTTTTACGGATTTATACTTTTAATTATATTAAAAATAATTAGTTCTATTTTTTATAATAAGAATACATTAAATAAATTTCAATTAATATTATTTTCATAAAATATTTGTGAATTTGGTTTAAAAATATTTTCCGTTATGGCATTACCATGCGCATAATAAATAACAAAGATGGCTTCTTTTGTGTTTGCGGGTTTTTAAATTTAAAATTGCTTATATTATGGAAATTATCGAGGCAATTTTTTTAAATTAGTGTGTTTAGTAATAGATAGTGGTACAAAATTATTATTCGATGCATATCTGTTTTGAAGATTGCGTGTGGAAGTAATAACAACAAATTTAAGTGCTCTGATGACAGTGGCGAACTTTCAACAGGTATTTTAAATTTGATATTATAAATATACATATATATATATATATATATATATATATATATATCTTGATAGTTTTTTCGACGTTGAAACATATTTCAAAGTAACTAGCAGCCCATTCGTCGAAATAAAAAAGGTATAAAGTATAAAAACTTTTATTTATACGTTTCGACACAAGATGCGTGTCATCATTCAGCAACACAGGACAAAAACACTCAACAAAAATTTATTTTTAAAAAATTAAACTTAATAACATATTAGAGAAAAACATTTTTTTAGAAAAAATTATGTATAACTAAAAGATTTGAAAACTAATTTGACTAAAAGTTATGAAATGCATAATTGTGAAGCGAGAAACACGCCCATACCGAGCATCCAGACTCGACTTCATATATATATATATATATATATATATATATATATATTTATACATATATATTGTTAGGTTCATGAATGTTTCTGAAATTATGGTCATGAATTAATTTTGTTAATCAATTTTTGGAAAATGTTTTTTTTTCATTTTATTAATTTTATACAGAAGAGAGTGTACGGCTATTGCTAGATAATAATAACATTTCTTATATTTTAAAAAAAAATATTATTAAATAAATTATGAAATCACTAAGACCATATTACATAGTCAAAATTATTGCTTTATATTTCATTGTTAATTTCTATTTTGTCTCTGTACAAATCGTTATCAATCCCGTTATCTTTTAAGTACGTCATAATTTCTTAACAGTTGTTTTTTGCAATCGATAATTCACCGCAAATGAATTATTAATACACATATGGGTCGTACAAATATTTATCAGTAAATACAACCACAACAAAAATATTTTTGAATTCACAGTTACGCATTCTGGTATATAAATTTTAACTCAAAATTGACAAACAAAATGTTAATAATATCATGAACGTATATAGAAACTTTTACACATCATAATTTTTCATTAGAATTACCCAATAATTCTAATGAACAATTAATTAATTTATAAATCAATAATTCAATTCCGGTAGGATGTTTGACATTTTGATATGATCTGAAGTTCGCGCATAGTGTACCAACATAAAAATAAGAAAGGGAAGTTCAAATTGAATTATTATTTCCAAATCTAAATATTATTTAAATTATGCAAATTAATATATTTCATTAAATAATAATCTCTAGTTACGCTACTGCTTAAATCTATTACAATATTTATTATCCATAAGAGTGGGGCGTAGAAATCTTGTTAATAACACTTGTCATTTTCTTCAGTTCAGTTGCGAACGGCGGAGGTTCCGTTCCGGCGGTACAAAATTCTTTGAATAAATGTTGTTTTCCTTCAAAATAAGTGATAGTAATAGTCGAGATAAGAGATTGTTTACAAAATGTGATCTTAGTTATGATATTGCATTCGTTTTAGATAATGTTGATAATCAATATTTCGCAGTTGTGGTTGTTTTGAAAATTTTACAAGTGTGGATTGTTATATAAGAGTTAGTTTACATATATGGTGTACTTGAATTTGTGTAGCATGCAGTAATGTGAATATATAATAAATTTAATTATTTTATCGTTCTAAAGAGTTAATTTTCAGATGTATAAAATTTGTCAACAAAATCAATTAAAAGGGTGAATTACACGCTCACAAAAGTGAATTTTATATGGTCACTTAATTTTATAATATATAAATCCGGTCATTATGAGTTACATAAATATTGTTACAATAGACAATTCAAGTTTATCTTTACAAAAATTTAAATAAATATAAATATTTTATAATTATCATTTTTTTATAAATGTAATTAAAAACAATTGTGATAAATAAACAGGTGTGATATATAAAATAAATAATAATAAAATTTTATTGAAATTAAATTTATATTATTATATTGAATGTGATAAAATGACTGAGTATCAGGATGTTTTTACCGAAAAGGAACTTAAAGATATTGAAACAGAATTCATAAGACTGAAAGGTGAGTAAAATTGATTACAAAATAGAAAATATATAAAAATTCAATTAAAAATCTATTTGTACAAATTACCCAAAAATTATACAAGTGGTGGTAATAATTAAATAATATTCTCAAAACATATTTCGAGGTTTGATGTTATAAGATTATGTAGTTTTGTAAGTTTCATTATATATTATGTAAATTCTTAATTAAAATATGTAATAAAAATTTGATTTTCACGTTTAGTTTGTAATTTGAAAACGAAACAAAAACGAAACAGTCCGTTACATTCTTGAGACAATAGTATAGACGTCTTCTAAGTTACTTAACCGTTATGTACGAAGTTACATCTGTTACGTTATATTAACGTTCTAATTACGTTTTGTGGTTTAGTGCGCGTATAATAGTACAAGTTTTGTTTCAATTTTCTACAGACAGCGATTTTTTTAAATTTAATTAACAACTGCGCATTTGTGGAGTCTTAATTTTATATAACAATTGATGAATATTTTTAGGGGAGCATTATTTGGACCATGCTGGCAGTGGTCTCTATGCAGAATCTCAAATTTCTGAAATTTTCAAGGAGCTTTCGCAGAATTTGTATTCGAATCCACATACGAGCAAACATGTCGGCGATTGCATTGAGCAAATAAGATACAGGTTTGGCAAATAATAAGATAAATGTTTTATATACATATTTAAATATATTTATCTTATGATGCCTATTCATTGTTATTTCTTCAGGATATTGAAGCACTTCAATACTGATTCAAA